GATAAACTGCTGTTCTTGTTGCATTTATGCAAATAAGGAAAAACTAAAAACTGGCAGTGTCTTTGGTGACAGTAAGTGTGGTCTTAAGGAGAAATATCATGTTTTAAGGAGATTCATAGTGCTCAGTTGAGGGTATTGGACTTGTGCAGCTAACTGTCCTCAAAGTATTAATTTAAATGGAAGCTGAACTGCTTTCTGCATACAGATGTCACTTCAGCACCTGATGAGGGTGCCAGTTGTTCAGTTTATAGGCAAGAAGAATATGTCAAATGGTCACTGTTTAATATCACTCCTGCAAAGGCATTATGACTGGTCATCTTTTCAAAAGACAATGTTGCAATAGCAGTCACAGGTTTACAATTTGTTGTATAAATTAAACTTTGAGTTCTTCCTTTTATTTTCATGGAGTATATGCCTATGACCTCATTACCTGGGAGCTTGTTTACAAAGTATAGACCCCAGTGAAGAAGCCCATCTGTGTCTCCACCTCCTGAAATAAAACTCAATTAAATGGCTGGACTGTATGGCTGAGTTGGTGAAGTACGGCTTGGTCTATCAGCTTTGCTTAAAGCTACTTTCCTTTCCTTCCCTAATGGTTCAGACAGAAAACACCAACTATTCTCCAGAAGGGGAAATCTTAGAATATTCTCCTCAGCCTGATTTAAGTATAGTAGACAAAAGAGCTTCAGACAGGTGTGAAATGCCTTGCACACCTTTTACCAAGGAAGCCACTTCTTTCTCAATCTGGCATATTGTAATATTTGTTGCTCCCTTTCTTATGGTTCTGAATGTGCCTCTAACCTGTCCAGCAGTGCTGTTCTTTGGACATCATGAATGCTGCTTCACGGGGACAACCAGCTGACCTGGACTTTACCAGATCCTCCTCCCTTGTGGAAAGTCTTCCCTTCATTTGTGATCACAATTTTTTGTTGTTGTTCTCTGGACATTCTCTGGAAATGTAGAAGCTAAAGAACTTATAAGTATGACACATGGACATGACTAAAGGGGGGGATATGGGTGGGAGAGGGTGTACAGGGTGGAGGGGAGTGAAAGGTGGAAAACGGGACAACTGTAATAGCATAATCAATAAAATATATTAAAAAAAAAAGAAAGTAGCTCCAGAAGAATGAGACATTTGCACATTTGCCTTTGTAAGATGACAAAGGTCAGACGTGTTAAAGTGGGAAATTAATACAGCGGTATCTGATCAAATCACTGGGAAGGAGAATGGAGGGACCATAGAGGGAGTTGCTTGAGGTAAGAGTAAACAAGCTAGCTGGGTGCATGAGAGATCTCCCTACACTCAGGCGGAGACACTGCAGGCTGGTGAGCACGATGACAGAGAAAAAAGCCCTCTTATTCCCTTCCAGAGACATGACAAGTTGAGGTGCTGACCTGTGAATCTAGGATGGGATTGGCTGGGAAGCTGGATACTTCCAGAATGAGTGGAAGTACAGGCCAAAAGATATAAAAGGAGGAAGGGCAGAGGAGGAAAGGGCCTTCTTTCTCTTCCTTGGGGTTCCACGTGGATGATCATGCAGTGGCTGCCTGTGTTTTCCAAAGGACAATATTTTAAATGAGAGAAGGAACTCCAAGTGCATCCCAGGGTTGGTCTGGCTTGGCAGAAGGTGGCAGAGTTATTTTTCTTTGGGTGTTCTAAGGGATCTGACACAGTGGTCTGCCATTCCTCCAAAATTATGTAGCTTTTGAATAAAAGACTCCTTTCTTTTTCACTAAACCAGTGGTTCTGGAATTTGTCTATCGGCAGCAGCATCAGGACCCCATTTGCTGTTCAGTAACTCCTTGGCTTGTTTATATTTCACTATTATGTGTTTAAATCTCAATGTAATATGTATCTGTATTCATTTTTGACACTAATAGTGATGATTAAGGAAAATACTTTATCTTTGGGGAAGGGTAGCTACAATGCTTTACTTACACAAGCACACATACACTATATACATACATATGTAGATATATATATATACACATGAACATATGCATACATATAGGTATATATGAATGTATGTATACATGTGTGTTGTATACACATACGTATACATGTATATATATGCATAAACATATGTATAAATTTACTGTTAGGGGAGGTTTTTCAGAGTTCACAGAAGAATATGTGATTGGTAGTAAAAGACACAAAATGTTTATGAAGAAATTGCATTATTTTTTCTTTACTGTTGAACTTCTTTATAGCTTAAATACACAGTCTTGAGACGGGACATTCCTACAGCTGAAGCAATGGTCTGGAGACCTCCTACACTTGCAAACTCAGCTGTATGAACATTGGATAAGTATTATTATGACAAGACTGTGTGTACATTTATTTTTGAGAAAACTCTAACTCAATGATGGAGATGCCTAGACTTCAGCATTTACTGACTGCTCAGCGCCTGAAGGGAGGAGTTCAACAAATTTGTTACTCGTGTGGTTTCCTTTTCTACCACTACATTTTTAATTACGTTGAAATAATAAATTTAAAGAATGAAACTCCAAGAAGAAGAAAAGGACAAAGTATTAAAAATAAGCCTATTTAAAATAATTTTATAATAGATTCACAATATAAAAGATGTAAATATGACATCAAAATCATAAAATATGGAGAGAGTGAAAGTGTAGAATTTTCATATATGATTGAAATTAAGTTTCCATTAGGTTAACACAGACTGTAGTAAGTATATTTAATGTCAGTCTCATGGTGGACAAAAAGCAAAACCATGTAGCAGATACACAAGAGAGAAAGAGAAAGGAATCACAGCTACCACTGTTGAAAATCATCAAGTCACACAGTAAAAGAGCAAGACAGGAAGGAGGGAAAAGGAAGTACATAATAGCTACAAATACATTGATAAGTCTTTCCCTATCAATACTTATTTTAAATGTAAAAGGATAAATTATCCAATCACAAGACATAAAGTGGATGAATGGATAAAAAAATGAAAACAAACCAACAATAAAGCCCGAAGACCTGACTACATGCTGCCTCCAAGAGACTCACTTCAGCTTTAAGGACACAAATAGACTAAAGGAAAGAGATGGGAAAATATTCAATGCAATAGGAAACTGAAAGAGAGCAGGATTAGCTGTAATTGTATCAGACAGTGAGCCTGAGCCCATGACCATCAGCTCCAGGGCTTGGGAGCAGCAGGAGTGAGAGTGGGCACAGGAGGAAGGGGAAGAGGGAAGGGCACACGGAAACTGGGGTGGGGTCCTTCCCAAAGCAGCAGCAGACTGGAGGGAGAGATCGCTGGTTCTAGGTCCCAGCCCTGGCTCTGTTTCCAAGAGCTGTGTGAGTGTGGATTTGGGTGCTGGATGAAAAGAGAAAGAGGCCAGGGTGTGGCTGAGATTTCAGCCTGGTGACTCAGTGTGAGGAAGGCTGAAATGACAGAGGTCAGGAGAGGGAATGGGCTTGGGCTGAAGAATTAGCCTGCCCTCCACTTGGGGTTCACCTGGAAAACAGAATCCTCCTTGGAACTTTCTACCACCCTGAGCCCACAGAACTTCAGAGTCACTGAGACCAGTACCCGAGCTGTGTCCCAGCCAGGACCCTGTTACACATGGCACCTGGCTGGGTCAGTTTCACTGCCTGGCCTGCATGGGTCTCAGTCCACTGTCTGTTCAAATCAGAGGGTGTGTGATCTCAACACTGGAATGCACCTGAAAGACCATTTTTAGGCCTCCTGGCCCCAACACCCCATCCTCCTTATGCAGCTTCTTGGCCCAGGTCCTCCTGCAGCTACAGCTTCACTTGGGTGCACACCCACTGGCTGCCATGTAGCCCCACCTGGGCCTCTCATGCCAACTCAGCAAGCCTCTCTTTCCAGCTTTGTCCATATGTCACGCAAGAGTTTCAAGTTCTTTCTAAGTCCTGGAGGGGCCCCAGGACTCAGGGTAAAAGTGTTCCAGCACCATGGTGAAGGGAAACCCTGTACGAAAGGTCTGTTTGGAAGTGGGAGTAGAGGGATGGGGGAGGTGGGCTGTGGGAAGTGAGTAAGAAGGTTGACACTGCCTAGCACAGTGGGCAGGAGCCAAGGCACTGACACTGGGGTTCCTGGATCAGGAAGCACCAGGAAGCAGAGACTCTGATTACTGAGAGAGGTCAGGAGGGACCAGTGCACCCACTGCAGCCTGCCCCAGCCCCTCAAGCAGAAGGACATCCTGACACTGCTGGGCACAGGTCCTGACCTGGCTCCAGGACGTTTGCATCTGTGTGCCGACTCTGCCTGTCCCTCCCCATGTAACTCACGACTCCTCTCTGTGCCTCAGCTCCCCCCACAGGAGGCTAAAGCCTCTGCCACCCACAGCTGCTAATAGTAACATCTGCAGTGGCAGCAACAGTAGCAGCAGAACAAGTTACAGGGCACTAACTAGGAATGAGACTCTGTGCTAGAAGTCTAACATGGATTCTCTTTTTGACCCTCCTACAGCCCAGGTATATATGTACACAGATATATATACACATGAACATATGCATACATATAGGTATATATGAATATATGTATACATACACCCACTGTTCTGTGCTCCTCAGGAGGCAGACTCTTACTGGTTCACTTTACAGATCGGGAGAAAGGTGCAGAGCAGAGAAGTGACTTGCCCACTGTGGTGGTGCGACCAGAACCTGTTTGTCACTAAGTCCCTTTTGTGCTTATAGTCCAAGGCCAGGCAAGTTCCCTTTTGAGTGGTGAGTGTGAAACCCACATGCTTCCTGCAGGTACCTTCTGAGTGTCAGCCTCAGGTCCCTCTGGTCCCTCTGTCCCTCTGAGCTGTCCTTCTCAGGTGCTGTAGTGACCACAAGGGTTTCTGGGGATGCCCTTGGCATAAGTGAGGTCCAGCAAGGCCCTCCTTTCACAGAAAGCCTCTTAGTTCCAGTCTAGGCTGAGCCTGGATGTCTCTCTCTAACAAGGAACAGGGGAAGGTCTGGCAGGGGGTCAGTGATATGGGCAGGAGATGGACAGCAGGCAGGGGGCACTTTGTCTACTCACCTGACTCCAAGGCTGCCTCTTTCGGGACTCGGGCACACAGCTCACTCAGGCCCATCTGCTCCCAGGTCTGCAGGGCCAGGTCCCAGGCCTGCTGCTCCCCATATTGAGCCACTAGGAGTGAGGCCACCTCCATGCTATCCACCTTCTCTGGTTGGGTTGTGGTCACACCAGGAGACTGCTTGCAGAGATCCTGGTCATGTAGCAACCGCTGGAACTCCTTCAGCTGCTTCTTCGTCAATAACTCCAAGTTTTGGGCCAGCTGCTGCTGGACACTATCTGCCATCTCTGCTTCCATGACCTGCTTTGCAAGAAGGGCCTTGTCTGCCCACCTGGACTTCTCAGTCCTGGCTCTGAGGGTATTAGGACTGATCTCTGGGGAGGGGGTGTAGTGAGGGGCATCAGACACACAGAGAATAGCGCTCATCTTTGGTCCCAACCATCTCCCAGTGCAAGATTTCCACATGGGTTGTTATCATCACCTGGTAAACTGCTGTTCAGCATTCACAACCCACTTGGTAAGCCCCAGGGCACATGCCAGTGGATGGCATTGGGGGAAGGGAGGTGAAGGGAAGGAAGGCAGGGAAAGGCACTGGAAGGAAGAGTACAGAGGGGCTGGGGACACTGGGAGGGGTCAGGTTACTGAGCAGCTGGTTCAGGGCTGGGGCATCAGGAGAGTGCAGGGGAGGGATGGGGGATGGGATGTTCAGGACACTTACTGTTCTGTGCTCCTCAGTCTTCTCTCTCCAGGACCTGGATTCCTGGAAGCAGCCTTGTGCTGAGATGCTGACAGGAGGTGGGGTGGGGGGAAGGGCAAACACAGAGTAGGTTTCAGAGAGCAGAATGTAGCCCTGATCTTCACACTCAGGTCTCTTTAGACTTCTCTTCTGCTTGGGATAGCAAGCAGGAAGAACATTCTCAGTAATGAACAAAGGCATTACAGAGGAAACCACACAGGGGTGTGGCCACGCGAGGGGAGGGGCCAGCAGAGCCCCAGGCAAAGCAGAAACTTAGAACCAGAATTGTAGACTGGCCACCTTGCAGTCAGGCCAGGGGCAGAAGTTCAGTTGGGCTGCTGTGCTGGGTGCAGGCCCAGCAATGTGGAGGGACCCATATCTTTACCCGTATCATGAGGGTGCTCCCTTATGAGCATCCTGCATGTCCATCACCCAGAGCCTGCCCACAGAGCCAGGGCTGAGGATCTTCAGGAAGCTGGGTATGTGGTCAGGCACAGTCTCAGGATGGGTGGGCCCCCTAAATCTCACAGGGCAGCTGCTTATTGGGGCACCACAGTGGGTCAGGGAGCAGCTTTCCCAGCCTTTCAGTTTTCTGGGCTCCTGAGGCCCAGTGCATTCCTGCCTCACTGCAGGTTGTGTTCTGTCCAGGGGCCATCTGCTTGGGGCTGCTGAGCACTCAAGTAGTAAACATCCACCCGAAAGAGGAACAGCCCCTGCCTCATTGCAAAACCAGGCCTCTGGGGAGCTTTCTGCTTGTTTTGTAGAATCAGCAGAGCTGTGTACTCCAGATGGAGGAGGGACACCATCTAACTGATTCCCTGTATGCAGCAGTTTCAGGGGATGCCTTGAGCTGACCTGGTCTGGAGAAACCCCGGGAGAAGGAGCTTCAGCTCATCACTCACTGGGCACAGACTCTCTGAGTGCCTGATTCAATTCTCTGAGCCTCAGATTTTACACTTATTCAATGGGATATAATAGGTTGTCCAAGAGGCTCCAATTAAGCAAAAGATATTAGTAACCTTTAAAATTGTTATATAATGTTATTGTTTTAACGACCAGCAAGCACACTGGAGGACATTCAACAGCCAGACCTGCCAGGAGTGAGAAGTGCTGCCCTAGGAGGTGGGCTGAGCTGCGGGATCTGAGCCCTCCATGAAGGGCCCTGAGACCCCGTGGGGGGGGGGGGTGAGGCCTGGAGGAGGGGTGTGATATTGTTTTATTTCCTCCTAATGCTGACTAATGCTGACCCCAGCTCTGGATACCAGCTGGGTGTCCTACGGCTCAGTTTCACTCTGACACTACTCACAGTCAGTGCAGGCCCCACGGGTTTAAGGGCCCAGTCCCTCAGGACTGCTCCCCACCACAGTTTTCAGGTTGATAGGGGACTCAAGACTTGGAAAGTTTTAGCTTAAGGTAAAAAGTTATAAGTCTAGCAAGTAATGTGTATATTAAAGCTTTTGTTTCAGAAACTACAGATAAGGCCAGGCCTGGCTCCTGGGAAAACAGCCTACCTCCTGGGACACTGCTAGAGATTACTGCCTGGAAACAATGGAGGCATCCAGGCCTTTGTGTTCCAGGGAGAGACAGACCACCCTCCACCGGGAATAGCTAACTGCCCAGGACAGAAATGTTGCAGCTTCTGAATCTCAAAGCCTTCACTGCACCTTGTTCATCCCCTCCACCCCCCCACTCTCATAAAAGGTCTGGCCTGGAAAGAAAAGACAAGATGGTCTGTTAGGGTATGAACCCACCATCTTCTCAGATCACCAGCCATCTGAATAAACACCCAGAAAAGATTCAATTGCTGTCATTGATTATTGAGTTTGGCAGTGACAGGCAGCCTTAATGCCAAATACATATTTTGGTGACTCTGTTCCAGGACAGACTTTGGGACTCTCTGGTATGTCTGGATATTTGACGGGGAGTCCCATTGGGTTCCTGGGCTGAGAGGCCCTGGGGGTTTGGATTCAGACAATCCCAAGCAGCCACCAAGTGATTTCACTTGGGGATTCTCCCTCCTTGTTCTGCAGGAGAGTGCAGCCAGAGGGTCCCCAAAAGAAGGATTTGTAATGGGGTTCAGAACTCAAGGTGTCCAGGAAATATTAGAAAGATATATAGGATGTCCTCACCCTCCACCACAGGTGTGAATTAGGGGAAGGGACACATGGAACAGGGCCATTCAGAGCTGTTTTGCATAGCAACTAACCTTTGCAGCTAACCTCAGGCATGGTCATTTAACATATCTATAACCTTTAACTTGTTGCATGGGTATGTTAAATAGCTGTGGCCCTGCTCTGAGCCAGGGGGATAGAAGGAACTCCCCCCACTCCTAGATGTAACTGGGAGGCAACTCCCCCTAGTTACAGCACCTGCGTGAGAGCTTGGAGATGATTGGCTCCATGACATGGGGCCACCCCTGCACAGACTCATGGATGGCAGCCCAGTAAAGCTGGAAGGATATTTAAACCAAGACTCGGTAGCCATTGGAGAGAGAACCATGTGGTTTTGGCTGAGTGGAGTCTCTTGCAGCCATGTAAGGAGGGGAAACATGCGGCTATGGCAGTGAGGAGAACCACATGGCTTTGGCCAGAGTTGGGGGATCCCCCTCCCCCGCAGCCATGAGAAGAATCACCACGCAGCTTCAGCAGAGAACCACCATGCAGCTTTAGCTGGAGATCCCAGCAGCACAGCTGATTGGTGCTGGGGACCGAGGAAGGCCTACTGTTACAGGGTGCAGCCAAGAGGGGGGACCCCAAATGGGCATTTGAAATGGGGTCCAGAACTTAAGGTGTCCAGGAGATTTTAAGATGTCTCATCCCCCCCACCCAGGGTGTGGGTTGGGGGAAGGGACAAATGGAGCAGGGCCATTGAGAGCTGTTTTGCATAGCAACAGCCTTGCAGCTACCCTCTGGCATGGTCATTTAACATATCTATAGCCTTTGGCTGGTCTTTTAGATATGTTAAATAGCTGTGGCCATGCCCTGAGCCAGGGGAATGGAAGTAACTTCCCCACCAAGATATGACTGGGGGCAGATCCCCAAGGTACAGCACCTGCGTGGGAGCTCGGAGAAGATTGTCTCCAGGACACGGGGCCACACCCGCCCGGACTCATGATGGCAGCCCAGTAAAGCTGGAAGGATATGAATTCTGGCAAGTGAAGCCAAGTGTGGGAGGAGCCGGAAATGAGGCTGCAGAGGAAGATTGGCCGCGGGGATTTAAAACCCAGACTTGGCGGCCATTAGAGGGAGAGAACCATGTGGCTGTGGAGGTGCAGAGAGGATCACGGCCATTGGAGAGAGAGCCACACAGCTTTAGCAGAGTGAAGACTCCTGTAACCCTGAAGGAGGGAGAACCATGCTGCTTTAGGAAGGAGAGCCATGCGCATCCCTGAGAAAGAGAGAACCATGCGTCTTTAGCAAAGTGGAGACTCCCGCAGCCCTGAGAGGGAAAACCACGAGGCCTGGACAGAGCGGGGACCCCCGCAGCTTTACAAGGGGAACCACCACCTGGTTTTAGCAGAGATCCTGGCGACTCAGCTGAGGGTGCCGGGAACCCAGGGAGGTCTCCCAGTCGAGATGGAGTATTAACTGGGGAGAACCAGAGGACTGCCTGAGCCATGGACTTCTATTTCCTTTCCTGAGATACGGTACTCTGGACTGGGCAAAGGGGGAAGGAAGGAAGGACTGTGTCTGTTTGTGGGTGTTTTAAGGGACTTTGGGATTTTTGATAAAGACATTAGGTCACTACTTTAAGTTTGTATAGCATTAAATAAACATTTCCTTTCCTTTTCACGAATCTCTGGCATTGAGAGACGTTTTTCCTAGGGTGGCGGACATAACGGACCCGGGGCCTTCTTTCAATAATAGTATATTGTCCCAGGCCCCCCCTGTTCTGTTCTGTAACACTACCAACTGAGCACGGATTACTGGGAAGAACCGGGAGCTGCCTGAGCCATGGACTTCTTTCTTTTCCTGAGATACGGTACCCCAGACTGGGCAAAGGGGGGAAGGGAGGACTGTGTGTGTTTGTGGGTGTTTCAAGGGACTTTGGGATTTTGACAAAGACATTAAGTCATTACTTTTAGTCTGTATAATTTGAATAAATAACTCCTTTCTTTTTCACCAATCTCTAACATGGAGAGCTATAATTCTCTGGCAGAGGGAAAGGTGAACCTAGTACAGGGAGATCCCAGGAGAAGGAGTGGTAGCTTTAAAGTAATATGACTACTTGTACATACTCAGTAAAAGCCCAGCAAAACTAGCCAGGAAGGATCTGCCCTATAAGAATAGCGTCCCTCCAGCCCATGAGGTCAATCTCTGCTTGGAGTTGGCCTGCTCCCATGTTCTCTGCTATAAACTCTGGGTGTTTGGTTCAATTCTTTGTCCCGATCACTAAGAACCTGGTTACCTGTGACCACCTGTGACAGTTCCTGTCACTTCTTGTTGTTTATCACATTTGATTGAATCATTGCGCTTTCTGGTTCAGGTTAAAATCCCAGGTCATGACTTAGGTCATCTGGTAAGTTTTGGGTACCCTCTGTTTGGAGTTCCATCTGTTAGAATGGGGGAAAAGCCTCCATTCCAAGAAACAGACCTTTGGAGCCAGTTCTAATTCGTCAATTGATGAGCGTATATCTAGAGCATATGCTGTTTTGTTGTAGTACCGTTCTGTTTGTGTCCTGTATAACTTAGACTCAGACTAAGGAGAGCACTGGTCACTGAATGGGTCTTTAAATTATGGTATTATACTCTAACTAGAGTTGTTTTGTCAAAAATCAGGGAAGTGGAACAAAATGCCTTATCCAGAAGTTTTTTAAATTTACATGATAAAGATGCATGCAGAGTTAAAAAGAAGAAAGAAAATAAGTTAATGGCTCAAAGAAAAGGGAATTTGTATGTGAAAGATAGAAGCTCAGAGGATAGGGGCCAGAAAGATCTAGATACTATGACCCCTTCAAGCTGGTCAGAGTTCCTGCAGCCCCAGGCGATCTACTCCTGGGTATGAAATGGGGAAAGTGCACCTGAACTGGCATCGCTGTCTTGAATCAGTCAATAAACCACATTGGGTAGAGGAAGTGCCCCTACCAGGGCAGGACAATATCCTTTTTGGAGACTTTCAGTGGGAGTAAGGCTAGAGAGCCAGCCTGCTGGATA